TGTTTTCTGTTATTTTTAATTAGCTCATTCGAATTGCTTTCATTCATTCCTTTACTATATAACTGTAAAAAGAGAAACGAGTGTCAGGGTTATTCAGTGCATAATGCAAAATAAAATGTTGCATTTTCTGTTGAGCAACTATCGGTGTTTTTCTATGAAAAAAGTTTTAAAAAAAGTTCTCTAAACCAGCGAAGATGCACGAGCGAAGCAATTAATATAGACATCTTGTTTCCGCAACTATGTGTAGAAACGTGAGATAGTGTGTGTCACCGTCGTCAGTTTGTTTTACATTATAAACATAATAGACTGAATAAGTTGTCAGAAACGTATATATTTAAAACTGAATTATTTTTTTTGTTTAAACAACTGGAAAGAAAAAAGTTTTATTATTACTACAGGCAACGAAACTTGATTCTTTTTCTTACTTTTTATAGTCCACTTTCAGTTAAAAAAGTACTGATCAAATTCTTAACGCATTTTGTTTTTTGCTCAATCAAATATTAACAATGTTCGGAAATATAGTAACTGCTCAACCGCCACCGATATCCTGGATGGCTAAACCCCCTAGCGGTGACGCATTGTCCTATCTTAACAATCTTGATTCATTGATAGCTAAACAAGTTGTCAGTTTTACTCAAAGTAAGAAGAAAAAATAAAAGAGTGAAGAAAATTTCCTTTACTCCTCTCGTTTTAAAAATGCTTTTTAAAAATCTTAAAAATTTGATTCTTCAGAAACGGTGTTTTTGGTGTTAGTTCTTTTTCCGGAACGACATCTTACTAACATTGATGGATAGAGTCTTGAAAAAATGTTATCATCATTTTGACACAGTTCATGTTTCGTGAGAAAGTTTGGTTTAGATGGATCTTGTCAGGATCGAACTAAATTTCTGACAGGAGATGTAAATGTTTTTCGATGTGTTTTCTCTGTTTGTTGAACGGTAGTCGAATCAAAGCATGTATACTAACTGTTTTCCTGCTATTTTTGCCATGATATGAATAAAACAAATGGAACGAGGTGTTATCATATTTAAATCTTTTAGTGTTAACTGGTTTTGAATCTCAGGTCAAGTTCGGAGTATTCAACACTCATGGAGAACAAGTGTTTTTTGTATGGGAAGGTATAGATCTCCACTCTCCATTTCATCCTTTTATTCTGATTCATTTCAATTATTTTTTAGAATCAGACGCATGCGAACGTATATGTTGTGGGGCAAAACGTGGATTTGTTTTGCATGTTGTTGATCAAGCAAATACGGTATAAGTGCAATTTTTTGAAAGACTTTTCGTATGGCTTCTTCGATATCTTTTGTTGTTCTAGGAAATTATTAGAATTCGTCGAGAATTTAGAATTTGTGCAGGCAACTCTTGGTTCTCGTGTTGTGACGCTTGCGTCCATGAAATTTTTGTGGAATCTCCACCGGGAGTGGTGATTGGTACAGTAAAACAGAAGTAAACTTTGTAGAAGTATACTGTCATGAACATATAAAATTCAAGGTTTTTGTCGATTTCAGCTGTAGTTTTTGGCGACCTCATTTTGAATTAAAAGATATGAGCAATAATAAAATTTTGAGCATTGTTGGACCATGCTGTGTTTGTGATGGTCCTTATTGTTGTTGTTGTGAAAATAAATTTACAGTAAGTTGTATGTCATACATTACAACATACAATATGCTATTGATAAAAGCTTTTTATTAGTTATTTGGTACAGATGACACTACCGAAGTTGGAGCAATTCATAAAAAATATGCAGGATTTCTCAATGAAGCGTTTACTGGTGCTGAAATATTTTCTATTCAATGTAATAAACAATACCATATTGTTTCTCATACTCAATTGGATAATAACATTTTTGCAATTGTTTTGTTTTAGTTCCACTAAATATGGATGCAAAAATGAAGGCTGTTGCAATTGGAGCACTTTTTCTTATTGTAAGTACCAGTTGATAGAGTATGTTGATGAAAAAAGTATAACGGCTCTTCTCCATTTAGGACTTTATGTATTATGTTCATGTTCCTCAACGGGGTTATTAGAGTAGTGAACATTGGTGTCTATGATAATAATTTTGAATATACTTTGACATTTATTCTCTTCTATTTTATAGTATGTACTTGTTTTACAAGCTGATGCATCGCATATTAGCTATACACAACTTTACCTATTTTTTTTACGAACATTTGAAATATGAATCATATCTGTCAATGATATATTTGAGGAATTCCCTATCTGTGTGTATGATAGGACTTGTCTTTCAATCGTATTTTACGTATTTTACCAAAACTTTTTTTTAAAAAAGAATAAAAAATTGAGCAGGCAATCAGATTTACGTTTTTTGCAAATTCTGATAGAAGAGATATAACACAAAGCATTTCATGAGTTAGATTTTCATCAAATCGATAAAAATATTTCAGATCCGTACTCAACAAAATTAAACTCGGCTCGAGTAGCACAAATCTTATTCAAAGGTGCTATCAAGTGAGCAAAAAGTTGACATCTGATTGTATGGTGTATTTGCTCAACAGCTAATTTATGGATTGTCGGCTGACAAAAAAATATTTGGCTCTAAAAGACTCGATCTTTCCATCATCGATACAAAGTGTGTGTTGCATAAATATAAGAAAACCATTTAATCAAAAAACATGAAGCGGTTAATCAGAAAAACTTTCAGGTATTGCAAATTTTGGTGATAGATCTGGGCACGGTGATAGCGGTTTAGCAATAAAATTGAAAATGCTTATTGACGAAGTTGTAGGCCAACATAGTATGTCTTTTGCGAGCAATTTTTATTACAACGATAGTCCAGAAACTGCTGAACATTTTTATCCATATCCTATTCATTCGACTTTTAGTTTTCGCATTACACAGCGCCTAAATATCGTCAAAAACAGGATTTCTTGTTAACAGCATCGCAGTTTTCATTTTTACTTCCCTTTATTGTTTGTTACCTTTTAGATAACGAAATACTGTCTAAATACCAAAGTTATTGTTTGTTGCATCTCAGAAAATTCTCTATCTTCTGAGCCTTGAACGGACTCTTGAATCTATGCTTCAGTGTCCAAAAAATTAAACAAAAGGTCCTGATAAACGCGTGCTACCGCACCTTTTTTCTGGATAAAAAAGTACGAGTTTGCAATGAAATCTTTTTTCAACAGAACCTTTAAATGTTTCGAATTCGTTTCAAAAGTATAAGCCTTCAAAGGTACGGTAGAGACCCATTTTTTACAGAGTAGTTGGCACCGAATATCGAAAATAGGGGTGGTATTCAAATGTCATCATGCGAACTAAAAATGTACCCAATAAAGTTTTTTGATATCAAAAATTTTCTTTAAACGCATTAAAATCAGTATTTTGTACCTTTAACACGTCTAAATCCCTGAAATGGATAAAAAAAGTTTTAACGTCTTTGCATACTTTAAAAGTATTAACAAAGGCATTTAAACTTCTTAAAATTTTTTACGCGTTCGAATGCATCATCGAGACTTTTCATCCATTTAATACATTTACTTGTATTCAGATTAATCTGACGCGTTCAGATGCATTAGAAGTTAATGCATTCAAATGCACAAAATTATTTAACGTACTCGACTGCATTAAAAAGTTCTTGTTCCATTCAACCTCCCATTGAACAATTTTGAGGCTATAATGTACATTAAATAAAATTAAAAACTGATAAGCATGATAATAGATTAAAATTGTTGTATTATAATGCATGAAAGCATAAAAAACTAAGTAAAACGTATGAAAAAATAGGACATTATAATTCGTTAAGGACGATATTTATTATACTAAGCCGTTATAATCCATTGTTTATGCATTAAAAGTCATTAATTTATGAAAAGCATTTTTTTAATCCATTATCGTGCTTGAAATTAAGTCTCAAATTGGAGCACATTATAATGCATTACAACCGTTAACACGCAATAATACGGATACTACGTACTTTAATGCGATATAATGCCTTACTCTGTCTAACATATTATTATTCATTAGTATAACTAACGCATGATAATTTGTTAAATAGTTGTACTGCGTTATAACAAAATTTCAGAAAATGCGTTAGCATACATTAGAAAACTAAACGAGTGCTACTGCACTGAAATTGAAATTTGCGTAAACTGTATTTAATTAGTTATTGTTTCTTAATGTATGTGCATGCATTGAAGATTAACACATTATAATGTATTATAAATACTGCACAAGTGATAATACGTTAGAAAATCCAGTTTAATGCATGCTCATGCATTATTCACTAAAAAACGAGATTTAATTTTATTTAATGTATACATTAAAGCCTCAAAATTGTTCAATGGGAATATGTTCACAGGCTTTAAGAGGGGTCTAACACCATCAAACGCATTAGAGATTAATGCACATGAACGCATTAACGTTTTTACATCACCGTTCGGCTCCTCTTAAAAGGTTTGGTCTAGAATGACCTTTTCGACTCAATCAGACATATTATAAAGGACTTAAGAGCTTTTCGAAAATTGACGCCTTCCCTTGCTATGGTGATGCGTGAATGCATTCAAATTCGTTCAAATTTAATGTTTCTTGATGAATTACACAAGTTTAGCGTTTGAATGTATTAAAAAATTTTAACACGTTGAAAAGCATTGGAGTATTAAGGCGTTAAAGTTAGAAATTATCCAAACGTGCTAAAAACCTTGTATGAGACTAAAATGCGTTTTTTCGCTAGATTAATATTTTAAACTATCCATTTTAATTCATTTTAACGCACTGATGACTTTTTAATAGATGCGAACTTTTTCATTTACTTTTGGTATACAAAATTTAACGCATGTAAATGCGTTAGAAATTTTTTTTAAGTCAATTAATGCGTGTGAACTTATTAATATTTCACGGTTTTAAATGATTTAAAAAAATAGTTAACACGTTAAAAGGAAGTTTTAGGTATGAAAAATAAAATTTTTTTAGCTGCTAAAATAGCAAAGGATAATTTCCGCTATTTTTTAGTTCTTTTCGCAAAAACCTTGTTTAAAAACGCTCAAACGGCAAAAATCGATCAGCTCGATTTATTACTCTAACTAAATAAGATCAGGTTGCATCGAATCCCCTATCATTACAAAAGCCCGGTAAAAGGTAAGACTTTCGTAACACAGTAAAAAGACATAAATTAAAAAAAACAAGGCTTTCGTAAAGATAATGCAAAGGGATTAATGTCTAAGTAGATGTTGTGACAGGGCTTCCGTGACATTCTATAACGGGGCTTTTGTAACGAAGTCTGTGTGTAATTTTTACGGTAAAATAGCTAATGATTAATGTCCTCTAACAGGACTTTCGTAACAGTCTCATAGAGAGGATATGACTCTATGAAACGCCACCCTAAATAAAATTGCTTAATAAGTGTGAAAAACTTATTCGAAAACGTGTTTTTTTATACTTTCTCATACATCTTCGCACAGATATTTCAAAACTTTATAAAATTTTTCATATTTGTAACGCACCTCCCAAATTCGAAAACAAACTTAACATGGTAAGATGACTTTTCTCTACAAAATAAGACATTCTCGAGCTCTATACGACATTTTTTGAACTATGTAAGTGTTTTACTGCTATATGAACAACCCTCATGTAGAAATTGCAAAAATTTTTTGCATGGTCACGCAAAAAAGAATGCAAAAACATAAGTGACGACATAACATAACGCGAAAAATGGTCCGAAATTCTGTATATTCTTCTAGAACAAAAATATTTTACAAAATTTTGTAAATATTTTTGTTCTAGAAGAATATACAGAATTTTGGATTTGTCACCATTTTTTTAGTTACGCCACTTATGTTTTTGCATTCTTTTTTGCGTTATTCACTTGACTCACGTAAAAAAAGGTTTTTGGCTTTGACGACGTGAGCTAATTTACGTGATAGACGGTATGTTTACTGTTGGTATAGATGTTGATACACGTGCTTATTTTACTGCAGCTACTATAGCTATTGCTGTTCCTACTGGTATTAAAATTTTTAGTTGAATTGGTACGTTAGCTGGGGGTATTTGCCGGGCGGATTCTCTTCCATTCTATTATCTCTTCATGGGAGTCATACCAAAATGGTTATCTTTCATGAACGATAAGAGCTCTGAAACATCTTATTTTGTAGAGAAAAGTGGCTTCTTTTATATCAGGGAGGAAGGATATTACGGCCAATTCTTCGACTTCATTTTTCTTTATAATTGTGCAAAAGTTATATAAATGATTGAGCTGGGAGAGAAATATGTACCACTCAAAAACAAATGCATCGTAGAATGAGCCACAAACTAGTTTTCATACGTGGTTTTTGATTATCGTTGATTTCCCTTCTGTGAACTAGATACTTTTCACAAAAAAATAATTGGCTAAGACTCGAAAAAATAAGAAAGTTTTAGTTTGAAAATACTAAAACAGATGAGAAAAATTCAATATTTTAGTCATCAAAATTGAAGTATTTTCAGTTTCAGTGCAATACATGCTCAAGTGGCAGCGTACATGAATAAAGATGGGTTTATCTTCTTAAAATTATTTCCTTTGTAAAATAAAATGAAATTTTTCTACTTTCTAATGGAAACTAGTGATTGCTGAAAACTTTTTTGCCCATTAAATAAATCCTACATAAATGTGCATATACTTCATAATAGCCAGTTTCTAATAGTTTCAAACAATACGACCCATTCTAGGTTTAACTTTTCACTAACGAGGAAACCTCCCCAGGTTGCAAACCGCTTTCGGGCTAAAACCTAGTGGGTTATAGGTTATCGAATATGCTGATTCCGAACATAACAATCATTTTGGCCGATAGGTCTTCAGAGATCGGATTTTTGGAAAACCAGTTTTTCAAAACTCCTAAAAAATAATCAAAACCTTTGTTAATGATGCAGGATTGTAGCCCGCAGATTTCTGATTAAAATGAGGTCCCTTCCAGCTCTACATGGTCTTTCTTTGCAAAGTTGTAGAATTTACGAGAAAAGCCCTAAATTAATTTCTTCTTATTTCTGTAGCTTTGAGCTGACAATGAACATTTAGGGCTTTTCTTGCAAACTCTAT